TGACATAAATAATATGTACCCACACTACCGTAGGTACTGTAGGTAGTGTAGGTACTGTAGGTAGTGTAAATGTCAACACTCTTTGAAGCCACGCACAGGTAATATAGACTTCAGTGAACTTAGTTGTGGTCATGTCGTGATGGCAAAATAAAAAAGTACAATAAGAGAATAAAGGACTTCACATTTTGTGGAGATCAGTTTAGAGTATTCTATAACTTTCAATTTGAAATTCAATCGCGGTCCGTCATCGCATTGGTTGTGAAAAAAATCTCGACCAATGACGGGCGAGAGTGCAATCGAGCTCATTTAGTCTTCAATTTCGATTTGACAGTTACAGAATAGCCTAGCAACAGCTCTCTAAAATACCTGACGACCCTTCAAACTAGCGTTTCAAGAGAGAAAATCGTAGTGAAGAGACAATGGCAACTCCTCCTATGCAGAGGAGGCATATAGGTAGTCTGATAGAGAGAGTCTACACTCTCTCCAGCTGTGGATGATGATAACAAAATGAAACTACAACTGCACCCATAACAGTACCATTGTGATAAAATAATAGATAATGAAGTGTAGCATTAGCAGATAATGGGGTTCATTGGAAACTCGTTAGCGTCAAATGTGGTCCATTTTAAACAATCGTTTGCCTACTTTCAGTGTTAATTAAATCGACACGTGTAATAAGTACAATGAAGGAGAAATTATTAAGTAATTGCTTGCTTACGAAAAGCTGGCCTTTTTTTCAAGGGGGGAAAATTATCGAATAACTGCTCCCGCTTGGGTGAGGCGGGAGGGAGTGTCAGACTCTTACTGACTAAAAACCACCCCGTTCCATCTCCTGCACGTCGAGCCGGAGCCCCGGTTACCCGTTAGGTTCTCCGCGACTCCGAATCGGCATCGACCCTATTGGGCCCCATCTGTGGTGGTCTGATGGCTCTTTGAGGCGCGCGCGGAACGCGACGCGCCGTACGCTCAGGTCTGTTTCTGGTCGGACGGGGAGCCACCCGTGCTCGCCGTCCGCAGGCCCGCGCTTACGGTGGCCGGAGATTGTCCCGCGATCCCGACGCCCGGTGTGTCCTTACGCAAAGCTTGCCTAAAGGTTATCCCGTATAGGCCGTGGTCCATTCGTGCCGAAGCATGGCTCTCCCACACTTAAAATCCCACAGTTCCATTTAGACTAGTCAACTAAGTACAACAAACTTGTAACTATTTATTTAATACTGCTTTATAATAGATACACATGTAGTGATGTACAAATACTAATAACCTATTAATAACGATTAGTAGCACTCTGTTTAATTGATTGAATGGGATCGTGGTTGTTGTACCGTATGTTTGTCTTCCGCATCGATATCATTTTCAATCTATATCAATTGCGTGCAGTTATTAGCTATACTTTTATTTTATCTGTAGTTTGTTATATGTATTGCATTGGTATTAGGATAGGGCTGACTCATTGATCATGGTCTCATCTTCTCTAGTTCTCGGACAAATTATTCTTCTGATCTGATTACCTTCGTTTTTAGTTTGTCTTCTGATTACCTTCGTTTTTAGTTTGTCTTCTGATTACCTTAGTTTTTAGTTGGTGCCTATTTTAATGGATTAATTGAGACTTATAACTTTTTCACACCTGTGTCTAGTCTTTTGAGAATCGGATGCATGTGATGTCATGTATTTTGGTCCACTGCATCACAGGTTGAATCCTTGACTGCTGCTACAGTGCAGATATAAAATTACGTTCCGGCAAACTGGGAATTAAATAGTTAAAACCATTTGGTTATATGATATGATGTGTACCTAGTTCTCAACCATAGTCAAACGAGGTTACTACCTACGTAAATAGTCATATATATACTTATGTAATTAATGTCCTTGCATCTGCGGAGGGCTGATATGATTCTGGTCACTAAGTGGGAGTTTTCGTAACAAAGGCTACTCAAATAAGCTTAGACAACATTTAGAACGGGGATCTACTCTAGCTAGGGTAATTTAAGATATAGGTACTATACTACACTGCAACTATTGAGTACCTATCTCTAATTTGTCAATGCTGAATAGGTTGGGTAAGTGGTGGTAATTGGGTACTTGTCAACTAATCAAATTCAATACCTTTTTTCGAACTGTCAAAAACAACAGTTTTCAATGAATTTTGTACGCGATTGTGGAAGTATTGTGACGTCACATATTTTCAGCGTCAAACGGCATAAGTATTCATTAAAAACTTGCTTCTGCCCGCGACTTCGTACGCGCAATCCCATTTCCCCCCCGTTCCCGTTCGTGATTTTCGGTAAAAGTAAAAAAAAAATTGATAAAAAGTATCCTATGTCCGTCTCCTGGTTCTAAGCTGTATACCCCGCCAATTTTCATCCAAATCGATTTAGTCGTTCTTGAGTTATAAATAGTGTAACTAACATGACGTTCTTTTATATATATAGATTTGGTAGAAAAATACTAAAATTATGTTGGTCATAACATCAATTAATGAAAGTGTGATTATTTTTTTTATATTTTGTTGCATTGGACTGTTGAAATAATTTATTTTGTATTAAGGAAAGTACCCACTTTGTTTATTTAGTAAAGAAAACAATCGATCGACATAATTGACCTTATTTCTTTCAATCTTATTGAAAGTTGATTTGTTTTTTATAGCATTAAATTGGAAAAAGCCACCATTATTACGTATTGAAGTCTTATTCCATATGACAGCACAAAGACTCATCACAGTAATAGAAATATAATTACATTATTTGCTGCTCCGGACTTCCAATCAGGTTATGGGTGATCCCTAAATGTGATTAACTTCATGTCGACCAAATCTTTCGTTACGGAGCACCGGGAAATATGTTTGTCTCGTATGTTATTGTTGAAATGCCAACAGAGATGAATCGTGCTATCTCTGTTCCGTAATTAGGAATCCCGCTGTTGCAAAACCAGCAAATGTAACCTTTTTGCTGACGGGCACGCGACGAAATGAATACCGCTGTGTATTATTAAAAGAGCTTTTTACAAAAATATTCAACAAGTTGAATTTAAATTCGTAAACGAGTTTTCGTTGGACATCTCACAGGATATGTTAAACATGTTTGAAATGGAAAAATGTAATTTATATGAAAGTTGGATGGGGATTATTTCTGTGTGCTCTTTTTAAGTGCTTTTGGGATTTGATGGCTTTGTATTTCGTTTCAACAAAGCAATATGAATATGTCTATCATATAAAGTCTATATCTGATAGAAATCATCGATTCTGCCCCAAATATAAGGCATTGTACCGCAAAAGGTAATTGGGCAGAGTTATAACAAATGGTATTTAGAAAACACTAAATCTTACTTGCCCAAAAATAAAATGGAAACATGGCAAAATGTTTCACATGGCTGCCCCAACCGAAGTATAACAGGCAAGGAACGCACCACATAACTTCTACTTTCGACATGTTCATTAAGAAACATCCCAAATTGCATTCCTCTGTAACACTTAAAAAAGTTAAGGTTTGACAAAGTAACGTAAATAAATTAGTCGACGACCCGACGGACGAAACCTACCCTTGGTTCTTGAACAATTTACTTTTCAAGTAAACAAACTCCTGGCATGAGTTATTTGTTCACCGTAGCAACAGAGGAACTTCGGCGTATTTTTCGAACCAAAAATTTCCGAAGGAAAATTTTCTAATAAATCAATAGGTATCCGTTAATTTCTTTGGAAAACAAACCGTCTATTTTATGAGGTTTTCGAAACTGGATTATGGAAATTTATAGTTCTGAACTATCAAATTTTAGTTAAGTAAACACAAGGTACCTACTATAAAGCACTCCAAAAAGTATTATGACACATCTTATTCAGAAAGGGATTTTTTTTTTTTAAGGTGGGAAAATCATCGAATGGCTGCTCCCGCCTGGGTGAGGCGGAAGGGAGTGTCAGACTCTTACTGACTAAAAACCACCCCGTTCCTTCTCCTGCACGTCGAGCCGGAGCCCCGGTTACCCGTTAGGTTCTCCGCGACTCCGAATCGGCATCGACCCTATTGGGTCCCATCTGTGGTGGTCTGATGGCTCTTTGAGGCGCGCGCGGAACGCGACGCGCCGTACGCTCGGGTCTGTTTCTGGTCGGACGGGGAGCCACCCATGCTCGCCGTCCGCAGGCCCGCGCTTACGGTGGCCGGAGATCGTCCCGCGATCCCCGACGCCCGGTGTGTCCTTCGCGATGGCTGGGTTGCGAGGAGGCAGCGCTTCGCCGCCTCACGCGTCCCGCCTCCTCCTTAGCTAGCATGACTGCTTCGCAAAAGGAGGAGACGGCATCCCAGTCCCCCTCGCTCCGCATCATGGCCTGCACTAGGCCCGGATTCAGAAAGGGATACGATGCAAGCACAGCGTAGGTTAGAGCTGGCCGAGCTGGGGTTGGACTAGAGAGGTACAGATCTGAACCAACGAATTATATCAGATGAACTAATTCTTAAAAAAAATCAAATTCTATCATCATCATCATCAACAGCCTATAAATGCCCACTGCTGAGCAAAGCCTCTTCTCACACGGAGAAGGTTAGAGCATTAATCACCACGCTTGCTCAATGCGGGTTGGCGATTTCAAACTTATAATTAGAAATTATAAGTCCAGGTTTCCTCACGATGTTTTTCCTTCACCGTTTGTCAGTGGTGTCTAAATAATCTTAGAAAGTACATATAACTCGGAAAAAGTCACATTGGTACTTGCCGTTGGTAGGTTTCGAACCCGCACCCTCATGCATGAGAAGTGGGCGTCTTAAACCTCCGGGCCACCACGACACTAAATTCTATTCTACCACCACCACGACACTAAATTCTATCGCGAAACAACAATTCTCAACAAAATTAACGATAACCACATTTTCGTCAATTTCTTGAAACCGATTTATCTCATTAATCTTAGCTTCAGAAATTTAGACGTAAAAGCGTAACAAATAAAACCAATTTTAGATTATTAGGATTTCGAAATCCTTGTCAACCAAACTAACCACCTCATTCCTTTCTTATAGGAAGAAGTAGAATCATCCCTCCGTCTGGTGCATGCAGTAGCTACTGGGGCGACAGGCGCACTGTGTGTCACACATCGGTATGGGCGGCTGCGGGCACCACTGCACGCGGCGCGGTGGGACACTGCAAGAGCCAGGGCTGATTTAGCTGCTAACCTACTCCATCAACTAGGCTTGGAATCTGCAGGTAATTTGGTCGAATGTCTTAAGAAACACCTAAGATGATGAAGAGCTGATAATCAAACCTAGCGGCGTGCTATTGGGAAAGGCCTGTGTACGTAGCGCTGAACGAATATGGGCTGATGTCGATGGTTTTATAGTAGGTATTATAAGGTGCTGAAGTGAACAAAATGATATTCAAAATTGGTTGCTAATGTTCCGAAATCAAAACAAAAGAATGATGACGTTTATTCTGTATTGGTTGACTTAAAAAAACTCTTTAGTCTAATGAAAATAGGCTATCATTTTAGTTTATAAAAGCTAGTAGGTACGCTTTTACCAACATAATACCTAAATCCGTTAGAAATCAAATATTCATACGAAAATCAGAATTTTCGGTACCTACGAAGAAGTCTCAATAAACAATCGTTCAACAAAGGGTAAAAGCGACCGTCAACTCGTAAACAATTTTGTTTGATTTGATTCTGCGCCCGCTGTTAAATTAATTCACGACCCTAGAAATCAAACAAATGGAACCGAATTTAAGGAAAATTGCGACACGCTCCAACTTTCACTTTAACTGTTAATACATTTTTGGTGATTTTTTCATTCCTTTTCTAAAAGTAAAAACGATTGACAACAAGGGCTACCATGAATTCAATTATTTTGTTCAAAATTCAATTATGTTATACAAATAAATAAGTGTCACATTTATAGTATACGTAGCAGACCACATTACTAACGAAAACTCTGTCGCTTATGAGATAGGTACCTTTTTACTTTAACAAATATGTTTACTTTACAGAAGTGCTAATGGCCGTGTCACAAGGCCTCGTGCTCGGATCAAGTCCTGCAGAACGAGCAGTAGGGGCAAGGGCACTGGCCTTAAGATCTGATGGAGTAGTGAACAGTGCAGTAGCCTGGGCAAGATATGGCACCGCTGATCCAATCGCTGTAGTGTCCCCACAGTTGGAAAAGCCACCAGATCCTGAATATCCTTGGTGGGTAATGTAAAACCTAGGAATTAGATTAAAACCTTAGATAAAATAATCAAACAATCCTTAGACTAGTCAAAATGTTGTTTTCTAGAAAACTATGTTTAGTAAAGAAAATCAGTATTGAAGTTAATTACCGGCTTAATTGCTAAACCAAATCCAAAAATATATGAAAGTGGCTTATTTTATGAAGATGTCTCATGCTGAACTATACCGAATAAAAATGACAAAGTATCTCTTAAGTCTAAGTTAACAATAGTGTATAGGTACTATCCACTGCTCTTCACTTTCCACCTTCTTTAATTCCAGGTACGTGTCAGCACATGAGATAGAAACGCTCCGGTCTCCGAAGTTCATGCCATCTCCACCTGGTGCTGCAATGGAGGGCTGGTGGACGTATCCATATTACAGCTGCGAAGCCAAACGATGGTTATTGTCCTACACCGTGCCTGTAGCAACTGTACGAGGGTGAGTTGTGGTTGAAAAATTGTTATTTAGTCCTTTTAAAGTGAAATCTTATCACTCGCTGTTAATGCAATGGAATTGAGATACATACCACTCTCGGACAACTGAGGCCGCAGCAGTAGCCGCCCGTTTAAATCGCGAAACTAAATGATAGAAGCCACGTGCGCATCTATTTTTTTTCCTCTTTGGCAACCGAGTCTCCGAAACGAAGTTGTCGACTATACTGCCAGTGTCGAGTGGTGTGCGCATCAATTAGTACCTAGTTAGCGCCTGGTCAACTCAACTAACCTATTTTTTTTTATTTATGGGATGATGTTTGTCCGCTACTGGGTGCGTTGCTTGCCCGCGGTCAATCCAGGCGAGATTGAAAACTGCCGTCTTCTAAAACAAAACATCATCAGCCTAGAATAAAAATAAGACATGCCACAGGGTACATTATTACATATAAACATTACATCCGATTCAGTAACTTAATCTGAAGCAAATACTTTTATTAGGGTTAGGTATGCATAAACAAAAAAGAAACTCTTCAGTCTAAACGTGTAGGTATCTACCAAGGTATTCTGACCTACAGATCTCGTATTAGGGTAGACGACTAATTTTTATTTTAATGTCCGTCTGATAGATTATTTAAAAACATTAGACACGTATTTTTTATTTTCTCACAGAAACGAATAGTTTCGAAGATATATTGATTTGAAATGTCGCGTGACGTCACTTCTCAGTACATTTTATACTAAGGAATGACGTTTTAGCCCCCACTCCTAAACTTTGATTCGTTTTATCTAAGTATTGTTTTATTATACGACAAAATAAAAAAATACGTGTCTAATATTTTTTCATTACCTAACTTACGGACTAATTATATTTTTAATTTTCATACCCTGTCATCATCCCCTTTCTCTGTTACAGATTGAAAGGTATCGTCTCGCTAGACATAGACATATCGAGCTTGGAAATAAACCAGTGCGAGGCAGATACTGAAGAAGATAATGACAACCAAATATATTCTTTTCACGGGACACACAAATGCCCTAACGACACTACTTACGTAAGTATAACCATAGGCCTTGGAATTTAAATGTTTCCTTTATAATAATAGCTATGTATATAAATCCAATATGTCTATTTGTCTAGTGTGAATACAAACCAAACAGAGAGATGAATGTGCGACATGCTGGTTGGGCACGAGGGTCATATATTTGCCGATGTCGTCCCGGATACTATTCGACACATCACCGTGAAGGATATAATGGATCCCTTGTTGAAGGTACCTATTGCAAAATAGCCGTGATTTTCGTATATAAATATTCTGCAAGTTTACATTAGAAAAAAATCTATTTTCTCACACGAAGTTAACATTATTGTGATTGCACCTATATACTACCAATATACTACTGCACGGTTGGTGCGGTGGCTGGGCAACCGGCTGCCGTGCAACGTGTCGCGAGTTCGATTCCCGCACGGGACAACACTTTGTGTGATCCAAAAATTGTTGTTTCGGGTCTGGGTGTCATTGTGTATGTGAACTTGTATGTTTGTAAACGCACCCACGACACAGGAGAAAATCCTAGTGTGGGGCAACGTTTTTTTTTTAAAATTAAAATAAATCAAAAACTACTATATTTGCAATCGTTAAAATTTTATCATGTTTATCTTAATATTTGTCAGTAACGTTGCTAAGAATGTTTACCATCTCTGTCTGAAAAAATCTCGATACGTTCGAAAATTCAAAAGGAACACAACTGTCAAGTGTCAAATCAAATCTGTCAAAATTATGTTATGTTATTGTTTTGTTTTGCCTGTGTAGTCATTGTTTTTTGCTCACCAATATACCGAGAGCCGATAGTTAAAATAATTTCGTATGTTTTCATCACTTTTTACGTTATAAAACTGTCTTCAATTGATATGTATAAACATTTTATTTCAACACATTTATTTTCATACGCATTTTAAAAAGACTACCTAAGTACGAAAAGCACAAAGGTTAACATTGATTAATTTCAATAATTTCTTTCCAGTGGCTTACCAAGAATACGAAGAAACCGATCTAGAAAACTGGAGTGAGCCTTATGAGTGTCTGAAATGTCAACCAGGCTGCGAAACATGCCGGGGACCGGAGCCCTGCCTCGCCACTTACAACTGGCCATTCCGGTAAGAAATGTAAAGAGTTTAAAATTCGAATGTCAAGTCATTCGAATTTTAAACTTTTTTTCATTGTTTTCATATTATCCACGTCCAATACGTCACCTTACATACCTCTTCATCATAAAATCAGCTAGGATGATGTCTAAATCTGTATCCAGTGGCTCCCTGTGACGTAATAAAACCGCCCCAGCAAACTTATGCATTTTTTTTAAATATGTTTACTATGTTTAGTAACTTACACATACCTTGTTATTACTCAGAGAGAAATATTCAAGAAGAGCTTCTAAAATGTAATACAGTACAATAATAGCATTATAATATAGCATAATCATCTTTATAGCTAACTTGTGACTCACTTTTCTGGTTCATATGTAAACTTACATAAATTTTTCATTCCCAGGATATCATTACTGGTAATATCAGTAAGCTGTGCAGTCATGACCGTGTGTCTGACCATCTACACTCGTCACCATCGCAGGGTGAAAGTGTTCCGAGTAGCCAGCCCTGTGTTCCTGTCGATAACACTTCTTGGATGCGCTATCATGTATATGGAGGTGAGTTTTCTTAGTACAAGAAGTATCAATTGTGGTATAACAGACTACCATGCAGAATTCCGGATTCATTCAGCCTTTTTGGAGTATTTTTTTTATTGTGAGCAAAAGTTTCAACTATGCATTTCTAATATCAGTCTTTTTAGATATTTTATTAAACAACATTTAATACCTTTAGAAGGTATCAAGCTAGATTGTTTACGCATAAATAATATTGATTTTTAAATGATTTCTAGATGGCAGCTATATTCCCGGTGTTGGATAGATACTCTTGCATTGCAACAAAATGGACCAGACATATGGGATTCTGTATCACTTACACTGCGCTTCTGATGAAGACATGGAGGTTGGTTTCCTATTTATTTATAGTTTGTTGCTCAAGTTTACATTGTAATAGTAATATGAGAACCAAAATAGAAAAGATGGCTCGAAGAAATGATAAGACCACACACACGGCAATATTATATTCCAGACATCTTTTCTTTTTTAAGTTAATCTTACCAATCTACACAATTCCAATAAGCATTTTATAAAATTCCCTTTGTAGTATCGTTTTCAAATAATAGGCATATCTTTGTTTATAATCATTATTATTATGTTAAAAATTCCAGGGTATCTCTAACATACAGAGTGAAATCAGCTCATAAACTGAAGCTGACAGACAAGCAGCTGCTGCAGTGGATGGCACCGATACTCCTCATCATGCTGGTCTACCTCGGAACCTGGACGCTATCTGCTCCACCTGATGCTGAAGTTGTAAGTTCAGTCATTTTTTATTGGGATAACCCCACCATATCCTTCAAAAAACCGGAACACTGAAGACAGTGGCCGACCTCCGGCGCATCCCATAGGCATGAATAACTGTCTTGGTTTCAGCAACGAAGATATTATAAGAGGAAAAAACAAAAGTTCAGTCAGTCATAGAATGGATCAATGTAGTTTTAAAGAATAATAACTGTCGGCATAAAACTGATGTTGGTCTACAACAACCACATGAAGTAGTATAACATTGTGATGTGAGTTGTTTTATTGTTGTTCAATATTTTATTTATTTTTGCAGATAACGGACAACAGAGGCCTGAAATTCAAGCAATGTACTTACAATTGGTGGGATCACAGTTTAGCTATAGGTAAAAAATTAACTGAAAAGTGTTTATGTAATTCTTAAGAAAATTTAGCCATTGGTGAGGCAAAATTAAATATTATGTGTAAATTCTACATTGCCGTTTTATCTTAGGGCTAGTACATAGTTGGACAAACAAGCTACCTTACCATGATAGTAATATGAAGTTCTAGCTGTTGCCAGCGACTTCCCATAGAACATGATTCCTGTTTTATCCCATGGGAGCATTAATCAGGAGCAAAAAAATCACCTAAGTCAGTACCAATACCAGACAGGACAGTATATCAGTCAGTACCTGTACCAGTCAAAATATCCTATCACCTAAGTCAGTCACCGTGCCTGTATACCAAATTGCATCAAGTCCGTTCAGTAGTTTCAGCATGTTTGACAGACAAACATCCAAACAAAAATCTTTCACAATTATAATAATAATAATATAATAGTGTGATTCTTTTTATGTTTGTAAAACAACATTTTATTTTTTACGTTTCAGGTGAAATCCTGTTCCTATTATGGGGTGTACGAGTATGCTACCGCGTACGACACGCTGAGAGCCTGTACAATGAGGCGCGACTCATCTCTATAGCCATCTACAACATATTTACTGTCAACTCTCTCATGATAGCTTTCCAGTAAGTATAGGACTTGAAATATCATTATAGAACTTGAAGCGTTTTTCTTTCTGTTAACTTTCAACTTTATTGCAAGGTAACAAGGTTGAAAATATACATATTACTTTAAATATTGAGGAGAAAGAATTCCCCCTATTACATGGGACTCATAATATAAATAGTGAAAAGTGGGTGTTACATTGTACAGTGGTATTCAGTGCTGTAATGTACTGTAAAAGGCGTGATGTTATGTTATGTTGTTTATACAATTAGTATGTATGGAAAGTATTTGTTAATTTCTTTATCCAAAATAAGTTTTCTAAAAAAATATTAAATACCTAATTATGTAATAATAAAAATCTTTGTTTTCAGTTTACTAATATTACCTCGAGCCGGACCTGACATTAAGTATCTTCTTGGGTTCATAAGGACTCAACTATCAACATCAACAACTGTGCTGTTGGTGTTCTTACCTAAGGTATCTTGGTATAGCTCTTATTCTTTAATAACTTCACTTTGACTTACTTCATGTAATAAGATTTCAGAGGAAAAGCAAAATTATTTTTATATGGTATATGCTGGTAAACGAGCAGCTGGATCATCTGATGGTAAGCAATCTGCGCTACCCATGGACATCCGAAACACCACAGGCGTTACAAGTGCGTTGCCGGCCTTTGGGGGACTAGAAATTTGAGGATTGTTGGGGATTGGGGAGATTGATATTTAGGACTCTGGTAACGAAAGGACGAAACATAACGCAAGCATTGTTTCACGTCCATTTTCTGTGAGAACGTAGTATCACTCCGGTCGAGCCGGCCCATTCGTCCCGAAGCATGGCTCGCCTACCCTTATATAACCAGAACCAGAACTGGCTTGTCCAACTAGTTCGTAACTATTATTTTATTGCATTCTTAGCTTAACTATTTGTATTTACTTACCAGGTATTACGTGTGGTACGTGGTACGGGCGACACGTGGGACAGTCGAGCCCGTGCCCGCGGTGTACCAGCTTCCTCTTCACTGAATGGCATCGGCCTTGTGCCTGATGAACCGCCTGACCTCTATCAAGAGAATGAGGAACTTAAGGTATGATGTTACTAATCTTATATTTTATACTCATCCATTTAGCAGGTCAGACAGTAAAATGTATATTATAGGTATCGTTTTTGTCAAATTTCTTTATTACATCTTCTACATTGGTATAGTTATTGACATAAAGTCGAAAATCCAATGAAAAAATTTGACAAATTTAGCGCTTGTCTACTTGTAGAATAGTAAATTTTGACACTTGTCAGTGTCATCCACATACATTTAGTTTTTTACTCTCTCTATAGACAAGCACTAAAGTGGCGTTTGGCTAAAGGCACAGAGGCGTTATAAGTGCGTTGCCGTCCTTTTGGAATAAGGAAATTGAGGATTATTCGGGATTCAGGAAAGGGAGGGAGTAATTGGGCCTCCGGTAACCTCACTAACACGACGAAACACAACATAAGCGTTGTTTCACGTCAGTCTGTGAGGCCGTGGTATCACTCCAGTCGAGCCGGCCCATTCGCGCTGAAGCATGGCTCTCCCTCTCTCTCAAAATTATACTACTTACTCATAAGGGTTTATGAGTAAGTAGTATAATTTTGATAGAAAAATAATTATAATTTGTATTTGTATTACAGGAAGAAGTTCAAAAACTAGCAGCTCAGATAGAGTTCATGAAAATAGTGCAGATGGAGATGCACAACCGTCACTTACGGCCGCGGCCCGGCGGCTACTTCACTACTAACGCTAACTCTGCCGCGCCGCAGAGCCCTATACACCCAAAGACTGTTAACATTTCACAGGTAAACCAACTATTTCTATAATTTTTTCTACTGACATGCATAAAAGATAGTCTTCAATAGTATGCCACAGACGCTACTTAAAAACCCATAATATAAAAAAATATTCGCATTTAAATAAAAAAATTAATGATGAATATTTGTTACTCAATCACGACTGACTCCTAAATGGATCCATCCATCCAAAGTCAAAGTCTGTATAAATAAGTGCTGGCACAAGTTAATAAGAATCCTTACTAATATTATAAATCGGAAAGTGAGTTTGTTTGTTTGTTCCGCTTTCGCGCCGTAACTACTAAACCGATTGCTTTGAATTTTTGCAGACGTAAAGTTAGAAGTCTGGATTAAATAATAGGGTACTTTTATCCCGGAAAAATTTGATATTCTTGAGGGAAAATGAAATTATTGGTATAGATGGCGCTGTGTGTATTGGTATATGTCACATAGGCTACTTATTATCCTTTTGTGACGCGAGCGAAGCCGCGGGTAAAAGCTAGTATCTAATACAGTGTGCTGTGTGTTGATTATTCTATCCCTACTCAAGCTACTGCAAAACTAAACCTTAATGACAAGTTGAACGGATCAGTCATGTGACTGTTTGACGAGGTACCTTGACTTGTTTCGAGCCTCACAAGAGGCTCACATTAATGAAAGACGCTTTATAAAGTTCTAAAATTCAGATAATCAACTTCTTTCCAGGACAGTACAGAATGGAGCGGACCAGTGTGACTGGTAGCGCTGAGCGATAGTGGGTGGTCGTGGCCGGGCCCGGCGGGGAAGCACGTCACAACCACTGTGGACGTGCGCCCACCGGCGTACGTGTGACGTCACAACTCATCACGCATCCATTGCTTTGTTTCGCTCAGTTCAGTGATCAGACTTTTATTTGCTTTTTAGTGGCTAAGTAACTTTATCTTGCTTTGAAAGAACTTTTAGAGTAACAGTAACACAAGTGATTTATATTGTTGTTTGAACTTATTTATAGTGACCTCAACAAGTTACCAATGATAACACCACTGCGTAGAGTAAGTATCGTTGTGCTATTCATTCCAAAAATTTTATTCATCGTATCAAATCAAGTCTGTTGATAGTATGTAAATGTATTTATAGTTTGGAACGATTAATTGTAACTGTTGTTTACTAGATAGGATAATGTCATAAAATAATATTAAATTAGCTATTTTTATGTTTATTCATACATCTGTGTAGAAAGGCTAGTGGTCAATACTGATTACTGATAAATACTCATTACAGTCAAGTAGTTATACAATTTGTAACATATACCAAAGAATTGTAATTTTTGTGTTTTAGTACGAAATGTGCAACCAAATAATAGAGTAGTTTGCCATGAACCGTGTTCTTGTAATACTATTATTATTTAAGCTTATTCTAGTTTAACTTTCCAAGCATTGTATTGTAAACATTCCAAATGTAATACTTATTATTGAATAGTAATTAAATGTTACTTTTTACTTACTGTAATAAAAGTCTTTGTATAAGTTATCATTGTCTGGTTAATCAAACAGGCTCCTTCTCAAAGAGCCCAGTGAGTGGACACTATGTTTTATTCTTTATTTATCTGTAGGCAGCCGCCTGATCGATGTCTTTGCAAAAAAAGAAATAACTCCATAGATAATAAATACTTTAAATACATCAGTCATCCAGACTTCAAATTGGCGGTAAAACAAATAAAATTATTTATAATTTGTAATATATTCGTAGCTATACATTAAAATGTCGGGCACTGAGTGTTCATCGTTAGGACAGACAATAAGAAGTAAAAGTTTCGAAAAACATAACTTCATAAGTCATACGGAATTTAACAACTAAACAAAATCTTATTTAATTTAGATTTAAACTTAAATATTAAGTTTGAACCTTTTAAAACATAACACTTGTTATCTATTATGTGTTGTAAACTAGTACATAGACATACATCATAAACCATTTGTATAGTTTTAGGCGTAAACAAATTGTACATATGAATCAAAATAAAGCATAAATTCTAAAGTGTTGTACATAAACTCATTAGAGATGTTTAACTATTATTTTGTTTCGTTTATCATCTGTGATAAGCAGTATTATCAATTATAATGTTATATTGTGATGTGGTTGTATGAATCTATAAGGGTGTTCTAACAACATATTGTACACACATATAGTACACTCAGCCTATTTATTTCATATGCAGGTAAAATTAAAGAATAGATCACCATAGAAACAGATTTAAATTATAAAAATCTATTCAGAACGACAATATAATTATGCTGCCACATTTTGAGTAATTAACTCTAAAAGATTTGTACAGCATAAAATCATTCTATAGATTGAGTATGATTGAGATATAAGAATGTAAAAGAAAATGTCTCTATTTATGTTTTGGTGCATCCACATCTGGCGAATACTCTGTCCAGAAACAACTCTTTCACGGCTCAGAGGGACAAGTCAATATAAAACTGAGGGTGCTCTAGTGATCAGTTGCTCACGAACAGAGTATTTGTCTGTTTGGATACATCCTTAGGCTTTAGCTCAACTATAAAAGGAGAGCAAAGAACCAGTCCTGTTTCTTTGCTCCCCTTTTTCTTATCCTTAGTCTTCACTCTTCACTTTCGATTCTACCCTAGATATCCTATAATAAATGTTATTTTTTGACGCTAGTTGGCTATCCTATCATTTAATGTAGGTGTTAAATATTAGTGTGCTAAGTGTGTTATTAGAATATTTTTCAAAAAGGAAGTTTTTATGCTGATTTTTAATCATTCATGCAAATAAAATGGCAGATAAGAAAGTAAAATGGGCATGTATTTTGAAGTTATAATAAAAAAATAATATACCATAAAAGTTCATGTGTAATAATTTTATTCACACAAAGATCAATAGTTCTTATTGAAGTTGATGTTCACTTTTTAAGTGTTTTTAAAGAAATTTGTAAAATAATTAGGTGTTTATGTGAAACTTTACACTTGTTCATTTTTATATGTATTTAAATTTAAATGTTGATCTTGCTGTTTTGTTTTAAATTGTGAAACAAAACTTTCTTTTACACAATATTTATAATGAAACATGAGAGAAATAAATGTTAATACTGACTTTCTGAATGTTTTAGAAGTCAAATTGGAATAAATTTTACATTATCACATCTCAAGCATTGAAACAACTCAACAATAAAGAAATACTTGAATACATTCAGGTCAGAAAATGAGTAATGAAACAATATAACTTACATTTTTTGTAATTCGAATGACACAGAAAGAAATTATTGTAGCCTTTATTCAAAGAGTAAAACTCATCATTTGTAGATGTGCCAGTAGCTTAAGTTTTAAATGTGATATAAATAAAAATTAGTACAATATAATATTCATATTTTATTTTCTTGAATATAATTTTACTATTTGAATCTCTTTAGACTTAACTATTTCATGTTCTATGTGCCAAGTTATAAATTTTCGAAGTGAATATAAAAATTTAAATGTATCAATTTTTGTATAGTTTTTTTTAGATATTAAAATAAATACATTACATAGTAATACACAATGTAACTGAGTGTTATATTAGAATTGGTGTAATAAGTATTGTTAATCTATGATACTCGTTTCTAGGTGAATTTTATGTAAGAAGTTCTGTTTTTACATTAAAATAAAAATGACTGTTTGTGATGTTTTATTTCATTATAATTATAGGTCAAGATTCTAACATTCCATTTGATAGTCATTCTTAACTTCTCACCTGCCACTAAATAAGACGAGACACAAAAAAAAACATACTTAGATCTCCATTCGCGTAGACAAGAGGTTTAAATCCCAATATATTAGGAACCAGTGTACAGTGACACTGAGACACAGATACATCCTACCTTTTGTTAAAGAAAGTATCTCATTCTGAGGCTTTAATACAAGTTTCATTTACGTTTAAAGTATTTGTAACGAGTACGTGTTTGACACTCTGATTGGCCGGCGCCAATGAACCAACCAATCAGAGCGCCGAATGCCCCATGCATACTTATCCCAACAAGTTAGTTCAAAGATCTTAAGTTACAAATCCTAAGCTCTAATATGACAAGATACTTAATTAAATGTGTCCAGTATCACAAGAAACATAGCACTTTGAATCATTAATCAAATAGATCATTTTGTTTCTTCAAAAATGATGCACTTGCGCACAAAAACTGTGTTTCACTCTGCACTGCTTTCAAGCTCTCACTATTGTCAGCACTCTTACAAAGCAGGTCGACAGCCTCCATATCTTTCTTTGCAGTTTCACACACTTTTTCCAGAGTAGCAAGCTCCTCTTCTTCAGCAGATAATAAAGCCTCCATCAATGCGCCTCTTTCGACTCTTCGTCTCAATGATGCTACCTCCTCCTTCAACTTTTCAAAATCCGAATCCGAGGTTTGCTCTACCTGCACTTCGTCATCAGGTAACAAAACATTTTGTGGAATTTTCAACATACGTTCTATTTCCTCATCAATAACTTCCAAAGACGGTCCCGCACGCTCACAATACAACTGAATCAACTTATCGCATGACCTTGTTAACGTAGATTTATCCGTTTCATTAAGATCCAGTGATTCTTGCAAATAGGATTCCATGTCTTTGACGCCGTTAGTAATTTTCTGTTCAACCATTTGTCTCACGGCTATTTTAAGGCGTTGAGCCCCAAAACCGAAATGTTGTGTCTCATATTCTTCGTCAGTACCACCAGTCCACGGTTTGGTTTTAATCATCTTGATTTTAATGAATAGAAACTTTTTATAAATCAAAATATTATACTTTGTTCACGTTCAACTCTGAAGTAAACAACTTATTTCAAAATTCAAAGTCAAACGTTCACTTCGACATTGACGTTTGACAAGTGACAACGACATTTGACATTGACAGACCCAACAAAAAATTGCCAGAGACAAAATGTTTGAAATAGTTTTAAAAAGCTTTAGGCAGAAGGGGAAGAAATAATTTTTAACATCTGCATTCATTTATTAACCTTTTCTGTGTCTTTTCACTGTCTACCACTCTCCCAGGCAAATATTTCTGATAACAAAAATCAAGAACTATAATGATATTATTTATTTAAGCTTTAAATTACATTACTAAATTAAATAAAATTACAAATATGTATTACTTAAATTAATTACAACTAACTTAAACATTATAATAAATGAATGCAGGCGGCAAAGTCTCTTAATGGCGATGCAAAGATTATCCCCGCGCCTCGAGCGGCGAAAGGAGAAACCCGAACTCCTTAGAAGCTTGGGCCTGGCGTTACAGAACTGGAATTTTGCCATAATTTAGAGCACTTAGGAAGATTTCACGAGCCCAATTTTCACGACTCTCTGCAATGGCCAAATTGGTAAAAGTAGACAACGTTTATGCATAATTATGTTAGGTTATTTTTTTAATTTTTTAACTGTCCTATCCACTTTTTTTGTCCAATATGCAAGCGAGGGTCAGTTAGAAGGCAATCAGTTTCGGTCCAGTATTCCAGCAGAGGTATATAATTTGATTTAAATTTAGTACATTTTTCTGCGACGTAAATTATTATTATAAGATAATAAGATAGAAACTGTCAGTGTCGTTCTTAGACAGCTTCACAATTTTGACACTAGAGGCGCTAGTTAGAATCTTTGCATCGTCAATTTTCTGTCCGAAGAAATAGCCTGCCTACCTGCCTCTGATCACGTGTATTTAGACGATCAGCCTACGGGCGATTTCTTTATAGACAGAGAGTGCATTGGGACCCCATGTCTTATGTGTTTCGACCCTAAAAGGCTCAAAACGCAAGTTATCCACCAGATTTAAATATTTAATATTTGATTTTTTATAATTTTTTACCGACTTCAAAAAAGGTCGAATTGAGAACCTCCTTCTCAATTCGACCGTATACATATTATATGCTTTTTATGTTTGTTCGCCGATATCTCCGTCATTATTCATAGGGACTATATTCGAACTATTATTAAATGAATTTTCAGTTTTATTCTTGACATGAGTAAAATGATTACTGTTTCCGGCAGAAGGTTTGAACTTTTACATAATGTGACGTGAAGTGAGCGACATATTATATAGGTAAGTATGTAAAGTTGTAATGGTTCTCTAACTATTAGGACGTAGGACTTAGTTTAAATATCCTGATATTAAGTCCTAAGAACTTTATTGAAAAAAGGGTTCTTGAAAAGATCGCATAGTTTGATTCAATAAAAATTTGAATTTGATTTTCGTCTTTGAAGATTTTTAAGTGTAGTATCAAATACCTATATTTTAGTAATTTTAATTTTATAGTACCTATACCAAATTTTCCTAATTTGTCTCCAAACTCCAATTCTATATTCAATGTCTGTGTGGATTTGAAGTTAGTAATAAGTTAGTAAGTAAGTGATATAAATTGTATTATAATAAATCTTAGCATTAGCTACCTATGTAATGTTTTTACAAGAAATTTTACAATGCGTAACCAACTTAATTGTCTAATTCTAAAGCATGCACAGTAAACAAATTATAATGTCTATTTTTCATTACATGCTATCCATAAAAGTTCCACGTCACACGCATTAGGTATACCTAAACTACCTATTTTTAATTAAATTGTAAGTAAAATTGCGTAAATAATTGAAATGAGAATGAATGGAGCGCGTCCAAATGTGTCGTTCCGTCCTCTTGCTAACTGTTTTGCGTTCGCGATTCACTTCACATCAGTTCGTTCAGCAGTAATAGCGCGGAGTTCGTACTGTGTCGACGTTTCTATTACATCACAACAATAACATAACCTCTTCGTGGTTATCGCGAAAACTTTCACCCTATAGTTTTCGCATAAGTTTCTTATTGGATTTGAACTGAGAATATTAATTAATTGTAAACGTGTTAAGCGTTTGGATAAAACGCTGTTGTTTTTGTCGTTCCGCGTGTGCGAACAAGTGTTTACAAAGTTGTCCATTCCTTGGTGTTGTGTTCAGTTTGCAGTTTTTGTGTTTTGACCGTGAACTTGTTGCTTTGAACCCGTCTTTGTGGTAAGAATCATAGTGTATAGTTACTTATTTTTTTGTTACATGTTAACGATATCGTATATTATCGACTATAGACATGATTGTTATGAATTGTGTAATGTTTACTTTTTATCTTTGGTTTGTTTATATTTGAATAATATAAATTATTAATGCGTAGTTGTTACCTAACTAGGAAGTTATGGAAATTGAATTTTCGTTTACCTACGTATAGTTTTTGGAGAATAAAGTATGAATTAAAAATCAGCAATCTTTGTAGCAGTACCTACACCGTACCGGTTAACCTGTTGAATATTTGTGGTGCCATTGAATGAAATGTAGGCTAATAAGAATTACACGCGGCAAATAAGAATTTAATTACGAAGATAACGAACCATAGGTATGACTGGGACTTAGGTATGGAGCACTATTTAATCTGTGGAGGGTAAGCGCCTATTTAACTTTTTAAATCGAGAACCAATCTAAACATCACAAATGTATTATCCAACGTATTGTTAATGTTTAATCCTTTAGATAAGCAGTGGGTACATTTAAATATTTTTGAAAACGTAAAATCTACGCGTTTCATGATATTTTTTTTAGTTACCTACCTGCCTAATTAGATACCTTGTGTATTTTTGTGCTCTTACATAATAGATAGGAACCTACCTAATATCATTTGAATTAACGAAAGTATTAGGTAGTTGTCTTATGCTCAGGTAACTGCTGTTTATATCCTTATCTTCATTGTTTTTCGATTAAATATTCGCACACTACCTTGATAATGATAATCATTATCTATCAGTATCACACGCGTTTTTCGATTCAATCCAGTGATTGTTTTGATACCACTACGTAGGTAGGTAAGTAATGTAACTTATTAACATAGTCACTACTATTGATTAAATACCTAAGCATGTAAATGTAAGAAATTAGATAGGTACCCAACTGAACTTAGTACTTCGCATAAACTCATGATATAGTGGGAGGTATTTAGGTAGGTAAATACCTAATTAAGTAGGTACCTACCTCATTTTCGATTTAGTTATGTCGTTCGTACCTGTAAATTCGTATAGTCGTATACCTACTTATCAAAAAGTGTATCTTGGCATGTAGGTAGGTACTATCGGCAAACTTTACGGTAGTACCTATACTTTTTAGACAAAATCTTGTGGCAGGCAAACTGGCTGCACCGGGAGTTTTCTCAGTCGTTCGAGCCGAGTGCATCGCCTATGATGGTCGACCGCCAATTTTGTCGATTGTACCTACGATATATCTAATGTATGTTTAGACGATGCGTTCAGGCAGGAGTACCTACCTATTTACTTAGGTGCCTATACATACATACAGACTATACCTAAGAGAATCTTTGAACCTACTGGACAGTGGAGGACGAACTACCTGCGTACATTGTGCAGGTAGTTAGAAACCTTTGAATCTAACTCAGTAGGTATCTAGGTATTTATTCGCTAACGCTTGTTTCTTTTTTGTGTCCAGATCTGGACCTTCACATATCTCTCTTCATTATACATAATATTTCAAAGGAAGTGACTGATCTACATAAAACGATAAGTTTTATCAGTCACTTACATGATATAAATATAGATAGGTACCTCTCTTTTTTCAAATTCATTGACAAGTTTCCATAAATATCAGTAAAAACAGATCTAGGAGTACTAACATAACATCTACCATATACCTACCTAATTCATGTGCGAAACTGCGAACTTGCGAAGTCACAGTCATGCTATAGTAAAATCCAGGTATAATTTGACGTCTCAAAATAAGCTGGGCCAACTTTTCTGCAGTAGTTCATCATCATCAACAGCCTATAAATGTCCACTGCTGAGCAAAGCCTCTCACACGGAGAAGGTTTGAGCTTTAATTACAACGCTTGCTCAATGCGGACTGGCAATTTCAAACTTACATATAATTATTAGAAATTAGAAGCCCAGGTTTCCTCACGATGTTTTCCGTCAGTGGTGTCTTAACCCTTTGAGTACCGTCAATATAGACACAATTAAAGAACAATAGGTGTGCGGACACCGGTATCTTCGCGGTGTTTGACAGTTTAATAATCTTAGAAAGTACATATAACTCGGAACAAAATCATATTGGTAGGTACTTGCCGTTGGTAGGTTTCGAACACACACCCTTATACATGAGCAGCATTAACACTGCCAGTTCAAAAGTAGTGCTTTCCACATGATCTTGTAGGTACCAGAAAACGTGACAAATTACTTGTCTACCAAAATACTAAATATCCTTCGTTTCTCTTATTAAACTTTCAAAAACATTAACAAACAAGAACAGGCTGCCGTTAACAGAATATTAATTACAAAACTAATTAAACGGCTACAAACACTTTTGACATAACTTACTGATATTGTGTTAAATATTTGTTCCTTTTGTACCTACGACGCGTAGTATTTTATTTCTAGTTTTCACAGTGCCCAGTTGAAAATAGTTGTCAAGCCTCTACTAACGTCAGGTATCAATAACTGACGCGGACTTATCAGTCAGCGCTTAGTAAACTATTGGACGATAAAAAAAAACACTTGAACATAGACCTCCTTTTTGAAGTCGGTAAAAATATTAGAATGTATACTTAATTATAGGTAATACTATTTTAACACGTCGGTTATAATAGAAATTTAAAAGCTATACTCTAATAGCTGTCGCGGAGAACCTAACGGGTAACCGGGGCTCCGGCTCGACGTGCAGGCGAAGGAACGGGGTGGTTTTTAGTC